AGACCTGTATTTTTGCCATGTTCCTTGACGGCATTGGATTTCTTTTGGGAAATTCAAATTAGTATATACAAAGTACAATGTAGCCTCTTTTACCCCAGACTAGTTCTTTTTCCTGTAATCTTTTCTGTTTGTGTATCACTATTTCCCTGATCATTCAAGCAAATATATGTCATCTATAATTGCTTTGTCTAATTATCCTGCTCCCTACCCCAGCCCCACCAATATCCGTTAATTTTCTTAATTATGCTAAACATCTCTCAATTCTATCCTCTTCTTTCCATTTTCACTACCATAACTCTAAGCCATCACTATCTCTTGACCAAATATTGCAGTAGTACTATATACCGTAGATCCAGCCACCTCTGAAAAGCCTGACCTATGAAACCATGACTTGAACTGTTGAAGGGACATCTAGATAGAAGCCAAAACAGCTTATAATTTTTTTCCTTCTTAATGTTCATTTATTATTAAAGTCTACATTAAAAACAACCAAAGTCTAAATAAAACATTTTTCTACAATTATCATTCTACCAAATTGATGTTTGATTTAATATTTGTCCTTTTGTCACATGATTTTTCCTAAATGCATATACAATTGCTACATATTTGCAATAACAGTTTGGAATTTTATATTTGACATTTTCATTTTACATGTCATGTTCATTTTTCCATGCTGTTTTAGTCATTGTTTTCTTACATGTCCTTGTAACCACTTCCCCAAACCTCCAAATACACACTGACGTATCCTAATTCCAATCAACCCTAACAAAATGACATGTATATAAATTTGCTCATTACTTGACATAGATGGATCACACTCTGTACTGTTCTCTGCTATTTGTTTTCCTTATTTAATGATACAACATGGATAAATCTTCAGGTTAATAGATCTAGATCAAGAACATGATAAACATGATTGCATCAGTTAATTCAAGTTTTATTCATTTATCAACATTCAGGATGATAAAATTCATGCTAACAATGCTACTATAAACATTCTTATATATAATTTCAACACATGTCCATTACTTCAATAGAACATATTGCTAGATTAAATCCAAAGTAAATGTAATTTAACTTTTAATAGGTATTGCAAAATGACATTCCCAAAAAGCTACATTCCTATATTCTCTCAAGCTTATCAACTTGTCTGGACAAATATTCTAGGAAGCAGTAAAGCATAATATTTAAAAACATAACCTCTGGAACAAGGCTAGCTGATATGAATCCTAGGTCTTCCATTACAACCTGTATAACCTTGAACAACTTAAGTAATTGTGCTATTCCATAGCTGTAAAAACAGATGTAATAATATAGTTGTTGCCTGTTATTGACATGAAAGCACTTAGTACAGATGAGCCATTATAGTTATGAACTGGAACATTATTATGATCAATTAATTATATTCATCCAGTGTATTTCACTACAAAGATATGGTAGAAGATTCTACCTATTTCAATGAAAAACAGCCAATACAGCAATTATTAATACACAAAAATCAAGATTTTCCAGCTGTTCATACCTATGACACATCATTTAATATCACTGCTCAGTGTGTTCTGGAAGTACTTTTTCTGTCTCCATCTTTTGGCTTTAATGAGTCTAGCCCAAAGAGCAGTGTTCCTAAACAGTGTACAACAGAAATAGTTCACAGCCATTTTGGTACAGAATTGCTGTTACGTGTTCACAGTAATAAACAGAAAAATGTCCTATTTTTCTACCCCTTTTTTATTTGCAACGATGTCAGTGGCCTTCTGTGAAAGGAATCAAGCTCCAAAGCAAACCCAGTTTTTTTAATAAACAAAAAATGGAAAGAAAACATTTCATTTTATCGAGCCACTGATTTAAGAGCAATACACTCTGAATTTTCCCATCTGCTTTGTTGGAACATGCAGTGAACATTCCAAGTACATATTTACACTAAGTTCCAGTTTAACGTGGATTCAAATAAACAGAAAGATCAAATATTTGAAACTTCTTCTACAGATTACTTTTATGATTGAGAGACAAAAGTAGCAGTCAGCAAGCTTGCAGACAGAAAGCTTTACTAAAGCAACTTTTGGGGAATGTTGTAGAATCAGCCTACATTCAGTTCTATACACTCCACCAGGCATTGGGTGAACACTTGCTGTATATGAGACACCATCCTAAGAATTGGTGGATATGAAACATAAAAAGAGATATGAGAGGATTAGAGCACCGTATGCCTAACATTTTATTGGGGAGAAAATACCATACAAGCAGTAATAAGCTGTGCATTAGGTTTCTCTTAGTAGTCAATGAGAGAAAACCCCAAATAAACAAACTTAAACAAATCAACAAAAATTATTAGTTCATGTAATGAAAAGTATAGAGACGCTGGCTTCAAAAGGGAGTTGATCCAAGGGCTCAGATAATATTCTTAGAACCAAGAAAATCTCTCCATGTTCTGGATATGTTTGCCTAAATGTATGCTTTACTCTCAGATTCTATGTAATGGGAAAAGGCTTTACTACATACAGCTCCAGGTCTTTGTCCTCTCAGATTCAAGTCTAACAAAAATAGGATTTCAATTCCACAGTAATAATGATATAAATCTTGGATGTGACTCACAAAGGCCTGAATTTGGCTGCCAGCTTATCCCTAACCTCAGCATAGTTTCCAGAGGAATGCCATATTCTAACTGGTCAAGACTGAACAATAGAGGTGAAGTCAACACACATAGCCATTACAAAATGTTAGTGGTATAATCTGGCGCTTAAGATATCTTTCTGATTCTGATGTCAGACAAGTCTGGATGTGAGATTTACAACTGCCCTTTACATGACCTTGGATCTGAAAGCCTGTTTGCTCATCTGGAAAATGGGGGTGATAATTGCCCTAATCTCACAAGGCTTTACAAGGATTAAATATGATGATGTATATTACACCTCCATGTTGAGACAGTGTATATCTTTATAGCATCATCTCCTGTGTTTTTAGTCCACTGAAATTGGGGCTCTTCATACTTAAAATATGAATGACCTATTAATGGTCAAAGCCAATGGACAATTCTCTGCCTTTATTTGAATCAACTTCTATATAGTACTAGCACTCTTGGTCACTTCCTCCTTGAAATGCTTTAATTAATTTCCCAGTATTATTAGTGGGAGGGGACTTCTTTTCTTTTTTTTCTAGGACTAACGTTTGAAATCAGGACCCTGCGCTTGCGAGGCCAATGTGGTGCCTCTGAGCCAAATCCCTGGCCCCCTATTTCTTCTCTGTCTATACTACATGTCCTTCTTTGTGTTCATCTGTGGATCCTCTTCCTCTTTTACCCCTAAGATTTTAGCCTACCTTCAATTCTATGGAGTCTATTAGGGATTTGCTAGCACTTGCTATATACAAGACACCATTTTAGGCTTTGGTGGGGATGAAGCATCACATCTAACTTTTATAAAGCCCTATGAGGTTAAGACCATTATCAGCCCTATTTTCCATATGAACAAAGGGGCTACCACATACTTGTCTACCCAGACTTGTCCGACATGATAGTCACAAAGAACTCCTAAGCACTAGATTATATTGCTAACATATTATAATAACTGAATGTTTTAGGAAAATCCTCAGAAACTCTGATTCTGTTTTTCTTTTTTTTTTGTTTTATTTTGTTTGGTTTTGGTTTTGGTTTTTTTGAGACAGGGTCTCACTATGTACTTGAGACTGACCTGGAACTCACTATGTAGCCCAGGCTGGTTTTGAATTCATAGCAATTCTCCTGCTTCAGCCTCCCAAGTGCTGGGATTACAGGCGTGCGTCACCACACCCGGCAGAAACTGATTCTGAATGGGAAAGGGAGTTGAACTATATTCTTCTTAGTTCTAATGAAGTCATTCTTCTAATATCCTTAAAGTTTACTCCTAAGACTTGGGATTTTCTAAAACTTCTGTTCTGTGTCCTTGTAGCAGGCATCTGATTATAATGACTGCCCACTGTCTACTGAATAGCTTTCTAGTATTAGGGGAAATTCCTGTATTTAATCGGTAAATTTTACAATGCAATTAAAACTTAAGTTTCCAGTCTCTCATTAGCACTATTAATATATTCGAACCATTTAAGACCTAACTATAAACATTATGTCTTTAGTTTTTATTCTTAACTCTTTGCAAGATCTAAGCAAACAGGAATCTGCCTTCCATCTGCATAGATACATCTACTCTGCACATTACAAATAAATGGAATACAATATGGTATTTGGTGACTAGTTTCTTTCACTTAGCGTACTTTTTTCAAGGTTTATCTATGATGTAGCATATATAATACTTAGTTCTATGCAACCAGGAGTCTTCCTTCCATCTGTATAGATATGTCTATCCTGTATATTACAAACAAGTTGAATAAAATATGTGGTATTTTGTGACTGGCTTATTTCATTTAGCATAAGTTTTTCAAGGTTTATCCATGTTGTAGCATATATAACACGTCATTCCTTTTTATGACCAAGTGATATTCCACAGTATGGATATATCTTATTTTATTTTTGTATGGACATTCGTATTATTTTGGGCACTATTCTTACTTCTATTTTATTTTAGAAATAAGGACATTTAATCTCAGGGAAGTACCCTGACCAACATAAGACAGAAAGTGGCAAATTTGAGAGCCACACAAAGCCTAGTGCATTTGATACTGTAATTCTTGCACTTAACCACTATACCACTGATTCCTATTATGCCATCCAGGCTTGTAAAGCCAATGCAAAAGAAGATGGGAAGGAGGTTCAGGGGTATAGCACCTATTCTGGGTACAATCCTTAGCACCTGGGGGTGGGGTAGGAAAAGACAACAAAATCTTCATTGAAAATCTTGTTAGGAGCAGAAATTTCATCATGAAAATGAGGTAGGTGAAATGATCCAAATATTTGAAAAATAAACAAGTTTGAAAAATAGGAAAATAGAATTTAGTGTAAAAGCTATTAAAACAATAACTTAGGGTGGTGGCACACACCTGCAATCTTAGCAGTTGGAAGGCTGAAGCTGGAGGATCACTGCAAGTTGAAGGCCACCCTGAACTGCATCGGAAGACCCTGTATCAAAAACAACAACAAAAAAGGTTAAAACAGTATGAATATACAAGACGCAATCAAAATACATGGTGAATGTTTAAATTTTTAAAAATTTGTATTGCAGTAAAAAACATTTTCATTAATCCTATTCAAAATCTTCCCCTCACTTCGAACATACTTATTCCATTATTCTTGCCACTTTCTGAAACAGTTCTGGAAGTCTTCTTTCGTGTGTTTACAAAGTGTGATAAATAATTTGGTGAAGGCTGCTTTTGCATACCATCCAAGGAAAGGAAGGCTCATAAAAACATGTGTGCCCTAATTCACTTTCTTCACTAGATCTGCCACAGTGCAATTTCTCTTTCCTAAAGTCAAAAGGACCATGAAACATCAATGTTTTGAATCGACTTAGGATACCAAGGCAGTCATGACCGTGCCACCAAAAACAATGAAGAAGGCTTTCAGAACAGCTTCAGAAAGTGACAAGAATGGTGGGATACATTTGTTTGAATCAAGATGGAATATTTTGAGAGGAATTTGGGGCAATGTGTGTTTTATTGTAATATTTTTAAAAATTTAAACATTTGCTGTATTTTTCTATCACACTTTATACAATTTGTTAAATACCAATAGCCATAGCACTTACTATATAAGCTTCTAAAATAAGAAAGTCAAAGTGGGGTGAGGGGGTGGGGGGGGTTAAGTCATCTGCCCCCGCAGGACAGAGCTGGTGATTGGTAGACCTGGTGTTGGAATTCAGGCAGGTTGACTCTAGATCTGGGGTTCTCAATCACTGAGGTCAGCCAAATAAACACACTTAGTCATTGTAAACAAACAAAAAGAATGGTTATCAGATCACTGAGAGGGATGCCATTTAAATTTTTTTAAAAAGAAGATAACACAGTGTTGTAAGGCAATATATTGAAGTACAAAAATAATTTTTATTCTGTGCACCAGACTATCCAAAATTAAATGGAAAGTAACAAACTGGAAAAAGTATTTTCAACACATACAGAAGATAAGCATTAATTCACACAAAAATTAACAGGAAAGATATTAAAGTGCCAAACAGAAAGGCAGTAAAAGGACCTGAATAGATTATGTAAAAAAGAACTACCTCACATGAAAACATATTTAATTATTAATAATGAAAGAAATCTAAGTTATATGTGATGGATATTTTCCTCTATCAAATAAGAAAAATAAACAAAATTGAAGGAGACTAGTCTTAGCTAGTATACAGTACATTGGAATTCACAAACATTGCTGGTAGGAGCACAAATTAGTAGAACTTTTCTGTCAAATTGTGTTACAGTATCTACCAAGAACTTTAAATATTCATATCATTTTATCTTCCTGGGAATCTAGTCTAAGGAAATAAATATAAATTTAGTAAAACTTTATGTTCAATGACATGCATAACACTTCAGATGAAAAATGCTGGAAACCATCTAAATATCTAACAATGAGAAAATAGTTAAATAACTTATTCTATATATAAGCAATCACATTGCCATTGAAATTGATTATCCAATAATATAAAAATGTAAAGAAATGTTCTCATTATATCTTTAAAGTCAGGGCACAATTTATATTATTAGACATTGTATACAATTATAGCTATTAAGGAAATATATCAAATATACTAAATTACTAAGAAATGCTTTTCTTTTCACTTTTAGTCATTTGCCAAATTTTCTATAAAGAGCCCTTGTTATTTTTACAATGAGGGAAAATAAAATAAACTGTGCCTTTACAAAAGAACATGGACTGACTTATATGTATTGTCTGTTCCCAAATTACTTCTTCTCCCACTGACACAGCACATCTGACCAGGGGAGTGGTGTACACATATCTCTTTGAAGAGCCAGCTCTAGAGATAAGACTCTAGTTGACCAGTGAGCTTGCTGATTTCCTAGCAGTGCCAGATAAGGAGTTTTAAACACAGCAGGAAACTACAGACCCACTGGCTACTCCACATCAGAGCTCAGTCAGTTCAGTTTTGATTTCCTCTGGTCAGTGGCCCTGAAAGAAAGAGAGATTACAATGTAGTTTTTGCACTCTATCCAGGATGACAGGCTCCACCACTTACACAGCTGAGATGGAGGAGGACTGCCTTGGCTGCTGAGATAGAGGAAAATGACACCCGGTGGTGAGGCTTACAGATAAGATCTCCCAACAGAAACACTCTTGCTCTGGTTAACAGTTTCCAAGGTCTGAAGAGCAAATAAAAAACCTCCAGGGAGTAGCAGGGAATCAAATGTTAAACCTCTGGCCTGACCCATTAGAAGGGTTGGGGCCCTCTGAATTTCTGTACCTCTTCCTTATTTTTTCATCGGCCAGTTATTTATTGAGTACACAGAACAAGATAGATGTGGCTCCTCACAGGCTTTGCTTATACAGATTCAAACAAGGGACAGGGAGGCAGACATTGAGGTCCAGGGTACAGGATGGTATCTATGGCTGTGATAGCAGGGCGCCTCTGACGACCAAGGAAGGATTTTAGAGGAAGCTGATTTTAAAAGCTTTAGGAGTCAGCCTGGTGATAAGAGGAGTGGGGAAGAAGGATCTTCCAGGCTGAGGAATGGGCTAATTCTGCAGAGCCAAGAGACAGACAGCAACTGAGGAAGCTTCTGAAGTTTGCAATGGGAGACAGAAAGAGGGGAAGTGCTTTTCCCCATCTATCCTTAGACTGAATTACAGAAAAAGGGGAGAGGAAAAAAGAAAAAAAATAGATTTTTCTAGAGGTATCCTCTTTGCTGTCTCAAAACTTGGGTTTTCCCCCTTTGTTCCAGAGCATGTGCTTCCTGCTTTCTGATCTGTTGTGTTGCTGTTTCAGCTGTACAACAACATATGCATGATTTGATGGCAGAGTAGGTAATTCACAGCCTCACTCGGAAGATAACATCTGTGCTGCTCACTTGATATGAGACAATAGTGGGGTGAGGGTAAAATAGAGTTTATACAGTATTGTGTGTTTAGCGTATGCTAAGTGCTGGAGAAAAAAATATGGGGAAGAAAATCTATCTTAAAGTAGCTCAGGCTCTAATAACCATTATACATATGTAGGAGAAAGAGAACAATTTGAAAAACGAATGTTGAAATGCAATTTAAAAATAATTATCTTGTGAATTTGTTTAGATAGATTTATTAACCCTCTGTCCTTCTGCACAACTCATTAAAGGGCTGAATAGAATAACAATTGGGTGTTTTATAGGTTCTTCACAGGTGAGAAAGCCCCCAACATATGAGGTACTCAAAAGGACATGAAGGTGGGCATGATGGTACATGCCTGTTGTCCAAGTTACTCAGGAGGTGAGGCAGGAGAATTCCAAGTTTGGACCAAGTGTATACAATTCAGTGAGACTGTGTCGCAAAATTTAAAGAAAAGGGCTGGGGATGTACCTCAGTGCTAGCGTGCCCTTGGATTTGAGCCCCAGTATTAGAAAAGTGCTGCTAATATAGAGATACCTGAGTTTGAACTTTGAACTTAGGACTGCATTCATTCAATTTTTATCCTTGGGTAGGTTATTAAGGTTTCTGGGCCTCAGTTTCTTCATCTGCTGTGTATGGCAGATAATGTTAGCAGTTGAAATTGACAGTGCTCCTTTCTTTTTATATTAGAAGCCCTTCCAGTTTTCCTTAGGAGAAGGAAAAAGTCTAGTCTAGGTGATGGCTCTTTAGTGGAATAAAGTAGGCATTGGCAAACTGGTAGAAGCAGATAGTAAATATTTTAAACTTTGCAAGCCATTCAGTATCTGACACACTCTGTCATTGTAGTGTGAAAAGAACCACAGATGATGTGCAAATAATTAGGTGTGGCTGCTGCACTATAATTTTACTTACAGACACAGACAGTGATCCAGATTTGGATGTTGTTTACACACCAGAAGTCTAAGACAACCTCGAGAATCCTGTTTCTTACTTTCCATGTGACCCATTTGTGGCCAATGATACCCAAGTAGAAATCTGGAGATTTTTGGGAAAAGATTTTGGTTTTCTAATAAATTGAAGGCTACTGTGCTGGCACTGACTTTCTCCTTCAACTGAGAGATGCTCAGGTAATAACTGGAGTTGATGTAGCCACTGTGTGCAAGCATAACACTAAATGCTAATTTGGAAAAGATAGTGATATGGATAGAGATTGCTTACAAATGTCATCCTCGAGAAGTTGAATCAAAGTCAGCAGCACCTGGTGGACTCATAATTTTTAATCCACTGTGGATGTATTTCCTGCATTTTCAGCCAGATTTATTCATAAGTAATGCTGATATATCACAGGCTTACTGTGAGCATTAAATGAGATTACTATTCAGATCACATGGCATATAGCAGAACTCAGATGGTCCTTTTCACAGAAATTTTATTCTCTTTTTGATCACTATTAACATTTTGCACAAACTCCTTTTAAAAACAAGTTCAAATATGGAGATACCTCAAAGAGCTGGGATTAGAGATTACATTTGACCCAGCCATTTCTCTGCTGGGTATCTTTCCAAAAGAATTAAAAGAATCATAGGGCCGGGGATTTAGCTCAGTGTTTCGGTGGCCTGCCTTGCAAGCGCAAGGACCAGAGTTCAATCCCTGGGACAAAAAAAAAAAGAATCATATCACAGTGATATATGTGCACTTAGTTTATAGCAGCATGGTTTGTAATAGCTAAAACTTGGAAAAAGCCCATTTGCCCATCAGTTGGAGACTGGATAAAGAGAATCATAGGGCCGGGGATTTAGCTCAGTGTTTCGGTGGCCTGCCTTGCAAGCGCAAGGACCAGAGTTCAATCCCTGGGACAAAAAAAAAAAGAATCATATCACAGTGATATATGTGCACTTAGTTTATAGCAGCATGGTTTGTAATAGCTAAAACTTGGAAAAAGCCCATTTGCCCATCAGTTGGAGACTGGATAAAGAAGATGTGGTTTTTCTATAAAATGGGGAAACAAAAGAAAATGAAAAAATGGAAATAAAGTATTTGTAAATAAGGAAGGGATGAGGGGGTAAAGGGAGGGTAGAGGTAAGGGGAAAAAATGAGAACCAAGACCTGTCATATAAAGGTACAAGATCCCAATGATGAATGTAACTGTGCTGTATACCTAAAATTCACCAATAAACTCAATGAGGAAAATAAATAAATTAAAAAAAAACATGTTCAATAGTATGAAATATTTTTCAAGATCATCTCTAGTTTCACTTTAATTTTAAATTTCCGAGGCCTCAGAAAGACTAGGACAGGGGAGAACTAGACAGAATATCCAGTTTAGCAGGAATATGATTATGAAAAGATCTCAGATGGTTCTCAGACACACTGAAGGTAATTTCTCTCCTTGTAAATATGTTAGCTTTCTTGTTGCTGGACACAACACTCTACACTCACAACTTAAATGCATACCAAAAGTTTAACTTGCTCATGGTTTTAGTCCATGATTAGTTGGTTCCAAGGAAGAAGCATCATAATGAGAGGATACGGTACAGCACACATGCTAAGTCCATAGTGTCCAAGAGACAGACCAGACAGAGTGCCAGAGAGGAATGGGCAATGGACCATGTAGTCCATGACTCTCTCCCACACTCAGTAGCTTGCTTTACTAATCTGCTATGTGTTTTTTTTTTTTTTTTTTTTTTTTTTTTGGTACCGGGGATTGAATTCTGGTCCTTGCGCTTGCAAGGCAGGCCACCGAACCGCTGAGCTAAATCCCCAGCCCTGCTATGTGTTTTTTAATCCAATGAAGTTGACAAACCAGGATTAAAGGTCAGAGTAACTATTACTGAAAGTTTCCTTTCGCAGTCCCCTTTGAAGGTGTTCCTTTAGAGTCCTTATGCTGGCCTGAAACTGACTTCAATTGTGAAGACAGAAAGTCTATGGATGCCCTTTCTTTTGTCTCTGCTTGTACTTAGTCTAACTTTACTAAAGAAGCAGACTCACTGTGGAAGGAAGCCCTATGAGGAAGAGACTTTTATCAAGAAAAGGAGAGGTCTAACAATGAATAGTCCGAGTACTGAGAACAACAAGGAACAGTTTAAATAGTTCAGGTTCAAGGGCCGGGGATCTAGCTCAGTCGTGCCACTGCCTGCCTCTCAAGTGCAAGGTCCCGAGTTCGACTCCCTGTACCAAAATAAAATAAAATAAATAAAAATAAATAAATAGTTCATCCAGTTTTTGAGAAGCAGTGTCGGTTTGCGATTTCTCTCTCAAAGCAGGGGTATATGTGTGAGCTTAAAGTACCCATATAGAGACTCTCTGTATACAGTAACCATTCAGGATAACATGGGCCAATGAATGGATGGATAGATGGATGTGCCATTAGAAATAGGAATTAATAAAATAAACAATGAGCAACAGAGATCTGGCTGTCTTTTGTCTTAGTCCAATTTGTGAGAATTTTTCAACTTCTCTGTTGCAACTATTCAAATCTACTGTTATAATGTGAAAGCAGCTACAGAAGATATGTAAAGCAATACATATGGATATGTTTCCATAAAGCCTAGTCCAAGGGTCACAATTTGCCTATCCTTTCCCTGGACTATGTCCACATCTATGCTCTGGACTATGTTGTCATCTGCCTCTCAGAACTGCAGCATCCTTTTACTACCAGTCTGAGGATGGAGAGAGATCTGTGCAGATAAGAAAAAGCTGAACCTTAATAGGAGCCTCTGATCCTAATACTCCAGGAACTCCTCATTCTGTACTTCACTGGGTGAGATTTGACATTTCCTCTTTGCTTATGTTTGGGATTTTTCTATTACTTGCAGCTCAAAGCATCCTAGCTGGCATACTTTCCTAAGAGGAAGTATTTCACCTTGTCTATGTCAGGAATAGTGAAAGTACTAACAGCTTGTAATGCTAAAGATTGGTAGAATTGCCTCACCACTGTAGACCTTCCAGAATAAAGATTAATTTTAATCTGGCAAACTTGAAAATCCTCTGTAGGAATGACTATAGAGTTAAATACTCTGAACTATTAGAGATCTGTTACCATAGCATTTAAAGAGGTTTAAAGACGATTAAGCTATAGCTCATTCCCTTGT